GTCAGGGATACCCGCTAGCCCTATTTCTGTTTCATTTCACTATGGATATACTAATGAAATTACCCCCCCCCACCACCCCGCATCGGACTGTAGCTATTTAGCGATCGATTTGGTTGACTTAAGAGATACAGGTATTTTCTCCATAGGTAAAGACGCTGATAATATACAGAGTCTTCTAAACAGCTTGAAGAGTAATCTTCGTATATTTGACATATGATTCGCTCCTGTCAATTGTAAGATGAGGTTAAAGGACTGGAATACATCGACTTCTGACAGAGCGTGTTGACTACTTCACTTCTTCGGGAAGTTGCCTAAGCATCAACGGATTGATTGCTGACGAAATCTCACCATGAATACAAAAGTCTGGTATGGCATTTTCCAAATGACGCTATCTCTGGCCTAGTTGACGTGATATCCGACTGGTTGTCGATCAAAGGATGGGTGTACTGCGCAGAGGTTCGTTCTGCCCTTCTTTATTACAGTGAGGAATGTCCACTGAAAGTGGAAGACATGAAGCAGAAAACCCGATCTAGTAATAAAATTCGCAGTTTCTTCGAGTTGACATCGTATGATCGATGGTTCGTCCCTAGTGTCGCCACCCTTGTATCATCTCTTCATCGATTAACAGGAAAAGGACATAACTGTTTATGGGACTAGTGAATATCAACAAGCATTTGATGAGCTAAAGAAATACGTGACGTCATCACCTATCCTTGCATTTCCCAACAGGTCATCATCTGCTATTTTATTCTAAACACCAATGCAAGTTTCAATGTTATAGGGACAATCCTTTTTACAAATGGCAACTGACTGCGTTATTGCGAATGCCAGTTGTAAACTTAACAAACGTGAAATACCTTATTCCATTTTTTTTATTCCTTCACGTTCACAGTGGAACATAGGGCTCCAAGCTGGAGGCTTGAAGTTTCTTTAGCAGTGTTTATTTTTACAGGATGGGGTGCTACCCCAACCTTTCCTCTTTGCCAGCTTTATTTCTGGCTAAGCGAGGTAAAAGAGTGCGTCGGTCGGGGATCGAACCCCGGACCATGTGCATGGTCGGCGAGCGTCCTAACCGCTATGCCACCGACGCACATAATAAAATATATTGACCCAAGTAGCAACTGACTGCGTTATTGCATATGCCAGCTATAAACTTGACAAACGTGAAATACTCTATTCCATTACGAGGAGAGAAATGCTTCCTCTCGTTCATTTTCTTAAGAATCTTCGATATTATCTTCTTCAGTGCGCTCTTTCGAGTACGCACTGACCACCCTGTCTTCAAGTGACTCTGAACATTTCGTGAACCAAGTCAGTCAGATAGCCCACTGGATGGGACGCTTACAAGAGCTATACTTCATCTGTGAGTATCGGCCAGGACCACGACATACAGATGCGGATGCTCTCACACGACTGCCGGCCTTTGTTTCCACGGTGATTACCTTAGTTATAATACAGGAAGGGATGTTGATTAGACATCACTACGAGACGCTGACGTAGCCATACAGCCTGTAATACTTACGGTAACTTCATAGGAACGACCAATCATTGAATAGAGGGATTTATCCGCCACGACACGGTGCATTTGTACTAAACAGATCGCCTGTTATAACTGATAAATGATGTCTTCTACACATATTGGAGCTGTCTTCATCACCTCACCTTCTAGTTCCACACGTGAAAGTACAGGCGACGGTTAACCAAGTTCACAACCAATTTAGTCATGTGGGTCAGTGCGCAAAACTGCACACAAACCATTCGTCAATGATTTCAGGGGTCACTGCGCTTCATCGTGGCGTCGTTGAATTCTGACGTAAATGTGATATATATGTTGCCGAATGTGAAGCAACCCTCGCAAATACCACAAGTATCTTTTATGTGATATAAGAATTCAAAGGCATTCCGCATATGTCAATATTGTTTATTTATACAAACGAGTTATTCGCCTACGAATCAAAATGTTTTAACATTTGATGATGATAAATTACTTTGTCTCGAAAACTTATAATCTCTCCAGTAGTAATTTGTGTTACACCTATTCAAGTACTGTGCGTTGGTGGCACAGCGGTTAGGACTCTCGCCGACCATGCACACGGTCCAGGGTTCGATCCCCGGCCGATGCACTCCTTTACCTCGCTAAACCAGAAATAAAGCTGGCAAAGAGGAAAGGTTGGGGTAGCGACCCCATCCTGTAAAAATAAAACACTGCTACAGAAACTTCAAGCTTCTAGCTTGAAGCCCTAGGTTCCACTGGGAACGTGAAGGAAGAAAACACAAAAAAACATATTCGAGTACTGTACAACATACTATTTTCAAACGTAGACTGATACTATTTGTGTATAGTTCATTCTGGACATTATTTGATTATTTTGATACGATAAGTGTTGGTAGACAAACTCTCGGAATCAACATTGACTGGCATATAACCGTCGATGATAGGGCATACACCTAAAGTGGTTTTTCACAAGGGTATATATGAGGAAGGCATTTTTATATCCAATCCCTCAACCTGTGGGTCCTCCTGGGATATTCAACACTGGTCAGGTCATAAGTAAATGCGATATTCATAGCTAACAGAGGAGATTCCCAGGCTGCTTAGATTACAAGATTACGTCTTTGCGAGTCATCGCCCAACGTGGGAGGGGGGGAGGATTGCTTACACCGTAAAGTGGTGCACAATCATTCACCTACCAGAGGAATTTTCAACTTCCCCCTTGATTACTAAAAGCCAAACAGACATATTCATAAGGCATAGAGGTTTAATCAGTATTATATTGATTGGCTGTTTGGATTCTACCTATCCAGTGTTGTGTGTCCATCAAGTCTGAGGATTGAATTAACACCATGTAGTGTACTTAGAATTAATTTTAGGTGTTTTGTGGCAGTTATTATTATTGTTTCCTTTAATTCCTAGAGGAACATAGGGCTTCAGCCAAGCGTCTCCATTGCGTTCGGTTCTCTGCTACAGTCTTCACCTGGCTCCATGTCTGCCCACACGTTTCCATCTCCTCTTCACATGACCTCCTCCAAGTCACCCTTGCACTGACGACCAACTCGCCGCTTCCCTTTCGGGTTCCACTCGAGCAATGGCTTGTCTAGTGATGTCACTTGATGGTTTCCTCAGAGTATGGCCAATCCATCTCCATTTCTTCCTGCTTATTTGTTTCACAATCGGTTCCTGCTGGGTTGGTTCACTCCCAGAGATCTCTATTGCTGATCTTTTCTGGCCATCTGATCTTGAGTATTGAGCGAAGACAGCTGTTAATGAAGGTCTGTAGTTTGTTTGAGATGCTCTTTATGACGCGCCAAGTCTCTGATCCGTATAGTAGCACGGATCAGTCTATGTCTGTGGCAGTTGACAGGAAGTAAAAGTTGTCTCCTATGTTCTCCACCTAGGAGAAATGACGTTGATTGCACACACTTCCCTCATATCAGTTTGATATGTGTGTTCACTTACAATTTTGCAAAATGGATACATTTCAGAGCCTTCAGGTTTCAAATTTGCTCATATTGGGCAGCTGTAGAAGACATCACGGGTGCCTACAGTATCCGATGTAATTCAAAAATGCGTAACTGTCAACCAGAACCTCACTAGTTTTAATTTCCATTTATCTATGAAGCATCGTTTCAACCACATACAGGACGGATGAAGATGTCAAAGTCAGAATCGGAATGTGATATGTAGTCATATGATGTCTGCTTTGTTTGCCAATCTGATATGTTTTGTTATGTGTCTGTCTATTGACCACTAGTCAGTGATGACTCACAATCTATCTTGTCTGTCTATCAATTTGACAACAATGTATGTATGACCTTTGTCACATGACATTGCAGCCAATCAGAATCCAGTTAGTTGGCAGTAAGAAAAACTACCTTATCTATCTTATTGGTTCATGTATGTTAGTTGTTTTCTTATACTTTTGTATTGTACAATTGATTGACACTTTCGTTTCATTCACACTCTTGTGTGACAGTTAATTTTCTTTGTTTTTTTTTAATTATAGCTTGATTCCACACCGTATTCTTGGTACAAGTATGCAATTCTCAGCATGTGATATCGGTAGCCCAAATTTTGCAGGCCGACCATTGATATCGGGTGTGCGTCGGCAGGGTATCGAACCCCGAACCATGTGCATTGGTCGATGAGAGTCCTAACCGCTGCGCTACCGACGCACACGTATCCTTCGTCAACGTGTGAGTCTTCTAAATCATTCTTCGCGTCAAGGAAATTTAACTACCTAAGCAATACCAGTCGTTCCGTCAACGTCAGTTGTATCTCGTTAGTCATATTTATACTCGGTCAGTCCATACAAAAAAAGGCAAAATACGCCTTCATCAACCAAAGACCAGTTTGGAAATCTTCTACACTCACTCACTCAGCCAGCCAGCATAAACAACAAGATTCGGATTCTCAACACAAATGTGAAGTCAATCAAAGCTTCTTCTATATGGGTCAGAAACTTTCACCGCGCACATGTCACGAAAAGCATTTCCAACAAGCTACTACAGACTTTAATCAACACCTACCTCCTGCACTGGCTCCACTACTGAAGATCAAATCGACAGTCAGGAAGAATTAGCAACAAGACACTCTGACTGGCAACAAACCAACCAAGAGCCGAATGTTCAACAAATTTGTCGAATATGGAGATGGATAGAATGGGCACACACCACTAATGAGGCCGTTGAATGACATCGCGCACAATGCAGGCCATAGCTCGGGTGGAATCCCAACGGGAAACGACGAGTGGGTCGTCAGCGCAAGGGTGACATGGAGAAGGCCGTGTGAGAAAGGGATTTAGAGACTATGGGCAATCGTAGGGAATAAGACACAGTGATGACGTGCTGTTGAAGCCCTATGTTCCACTCGGAATCCAAGGGAACAATAATAATAAGTGTCGACTAGCAGGATGACTTTTATGGAGAGGGAGAAAAGCAGAAGAAAGAATTGAGTAGTTTGAAGAATTATTCCACAAAAATTTAACATTATAATAACTTACCCAACAGTAGTTGTCATTCGATCAATTCGTTGAAGTAGCGGAGCACCTTCTTTAATCAATAAATTTGTCAATATCATACTTTTACGATAAATTAATTGTAGATTACACTCTAAGTGTTTCAGTGTCATCAATGAACAATTAGTTGTATCTAATACTAAGTGAATTTGTTCAATAAGACGAGATATTAACGGTGCTGGTTTAATGGCAAGATTACGTCGAGATACGGATGCGCCAAGTGCACGAATTGGTGTAATTAGCATAGGCTGATCTATTAACGCATCTGATGATGATGGTGATGATGATTGATCTAACATTATCCGCACACGATCTCGTCCACTGTGTTGTGACATACTACTACTAGTACCAGCAGTAGTAGTAGTAGTAGTCACGGAAATGGGATTCCCAATTATAGCGGTATTTGTACTAGCACTATGGCCATAATTGGAATTGACAACTTCTGGTTCTTTGGTTAAAACTAAATTGGCCAGATTCGGTTGAACCAAAGTGAGAGCCTATTTGGACAAAGGGAAAAATATCATACACATATGTAGATAAAAATCACTCACTATTAGGAATTGAACTAAAGTATATAATAATAATAAAAATAAACAAAACTAACCCTTACAAACCAACTACAGAAAATTAATCTGATGCTCGCTAGTGACTTGCTACAGGATGGAGTTTCCTGGAGTCAGTCTAGTAAAAAGTCGTGACCAGTGAGGTCCATCCAGATGTCACGTGTGAGGATGGATGTCCCACCGACGACATTGGCTGGGGTCGCGCTAAATCATGAATCGGTAGAAGTTAGAATTCATGAGTTGGCCATTGGGTTGGGTCCCAGTGTCTGAATGGTACACGATCTTGACTCATAACCGGAAGGTCCTGGGTTTGAATCCCAATGGGTGCGTACTGCCGATGATTCCCAAACTAGGATGAAACAGCTGTCCAGTACTTCTCTAACTGATATCAATCCGTGATCAACTCGTAAAAACAAAACTACTCCTTACAAACTAACTATAAGAAAATAATAATAATAATAGCTTTATTCCGAACAGTGTTTATATAATGTGCAGAATCTTCAGCGGAGTTTATCGTGTGATATTTTCCCTTTGTCCAGGATCTTCAAATAAAAGATTAATTGACGATAGTAGGTCATGTAACAATGTTCCATCTCTCTGACCTGAAGCCCAAACCAATCCCATTGTGAGATATCTCTTGTTTCTCTCCTTCGAGAAATACACGACGACATTTGGTTGAATTCCAGTTAGAAAAAGTTCAGGCGTACATTTTAGGGAAGTAAGGACACCACCCAGGAACAGTCATCTCACGTATTGAGTGAGATACGTTGCCATGTAGGATTATGCTTTTTTACATGTTTTGGTAGAAACTTGAGAATCAGCAAGTTGTAAACTTTTACATAATCGTCAGAGTAAACAGAAAATACTATTGGATCTAAACAAACTGAATAGGAGAAATTATATATGCCATATACTGATGGAAGTTTGTCGGCAGCCCAAGTTTTAAGCAGGCCATCCAGACATACACAAATATAATTAGTAAAAAAACAGAGTATGAGACTTAGTGTCAATATACGTGTAAACTTGGGCACTGTGGTGGTAAGTAATTCCATATTAGTTTGTTTATTAGATATATCACACAGTGAAACAGTATTATTCACTGGATGACGAGGTTTCGAACAAAATTTATTGCCATTCAAAATCATACCAATTGTAATCACACGAATTTGAAACTTGAGTTTTATAGTTTTCTTTGTTCTCTCCTATTTGTCGTCGTTGGGGTAGTAGAACTTTCCAGATATTTGGGACAGGTGCTGAATCATTCCTATTACACGTATTTGCAGCTGATTTGATTAACTAAGCTTCCATTATCAGTCTCTCGTTCCACCCCACTGTTACATTAGATTTTAAAACTTTCATCCTATCCCATCCTATTGTATGGTTGTGTGTAATTGCATGTAGTGCTATAGCTGAACTATTCTCTAATTTCTTATCTTATTTGGGTCAACCAATCTAGATTTTGCTAGGTTTTTATGCTCTGCTAGTCTGACTGACTGCCCCTGTTCTACTATTTTGACGTATGTATTTGACCTGACAATCATCGCAGACAGGATATTAGATAAACTAAATTGTTTTGTTTTAAAGGCTCCAAAGGATTGATCCTCTAACCGACAAATCTTGTTTCTAATTGAGTTTGTGGGGGATTTGAATGCTAGCCACTTTTATTCCCCCCTTGTTAAGAATTCTGCGTAAGGTTTCCGAGGTTCCTTCCTTGTATGGAATTACCACTGATGATTTAGATTCCTTATTGTTGGTGTTGTCATTATCTTGCGCATGTTTGACATGCATATCGTTATTATTATTATCATCACTATCACTACTATCATTATTATTAGTTTTATTTTTACATTTTCCTACATACCTCCTGATTAATTTATCAGGGTAATCATAAATTAAGTGTCAAAGCTTCTCCTATATGCCTCACTTCCTGTAATAGAGCACACAAACTAAGTAGTACCAAGGAAAATCGCATATGACTTTCCTATATCTTCAGTTTGCTTTTAATCTATTGAAACATAATCCCTAATGGTGTCTTCTATTCTCGCGAGTATTAAAAATGTCTACAACCTGCTGATGTGCAAGATACTACTGTGGAGTATATTGCTGATATGATTTATCAGTAGTGTATGAAGACATAACAGTTCATCAACATAAGAACATCAAATAGCAAGGAGATACATTTGTCAGAGGAAGCAAATGATTCACCACCACACAGATACATGGGAAACGTGAAAGGAACACAGAGAAAGTATTAGAGGCTATATTTTTTCAGATCTAAACAAACTGAATTGGGATAAATTATATATGCCATATACTGATGGAAGTTTGTTGGCAATCCAAGTTTTAAGCAGGCCATCCAGTCATTATACATAGAGTATGAAAGTTAGTGTCAATAAGTCTTAGTTATAGTCATATCATCATGACTGAAAGATGTGCAACTGACTGGTTTTAATGTAGGACAACTTTGCACAGATGTGCAGCAGTTCCAGTTTGCCACACCCCACTACCCCATGTAGCACACAAAGCGAGAGAAGAGATTAAAAGGAGGTTTAACAAAGATAATAATCAGGAGTGTGAGCAAGGTGAAAAGTTTTGAATATTATAGATCAGAAAGAGTGACTGCATCTGTGCCAGCCATTAAGAACGACCACTTTGAGCTATATCACCAATTGGCTCCAGCCTTCATTGGTTGGTTGTTACTTGCCATTTCGAGGACCCCAAACAGTCAGTCAGGAAGCCAGCGTACACCTCCCTAAGTGGTTGGCTGGCTTAAACTAACCGTTGTGGATTTCATGATATAATGAGGCCATGTTTTGTTTTGATCACCACTAGCTCACTCTTTTCCAACCTGATCAATCCTATATCAGTCAGCTAACATTGCCCAATGTCGAGGAAGGAGATAGCTAGTGGTGCATGCGCAACACATGTCCTAACCATCGTAGTCGATGTAACTTCACAACCTCGTCTGTTGATTCCCCCTCCCACCTATCTGGCACTCGATGCCTAACTTCAATACTGATCACCTTATTATACCACCTCTCCAACACACGGGAGATAGAACGCAGACACCTACGATCAAAGACAGCTAACCAGGCTTTTCATATGTCTTCCACTTTCAATGGCCATGTATCTCACAGTCATTCATAAAGGAGGACAGAGCGAACTGCCGAAAGCCGTGCAAAAACCAACTCAATTAAAACTACAAAGTAAGAAGAAAACAATCGTCCAAGGGAAATATGTTGGATACTAGGACGTAGAAAAAAGAAGTACCTCACCTTCAAATGGCTGTCTGTTTAAAACCTAACGCTGCCAAAATTATATTGCATATAACTTTTCTTGTTCTTCAGTTTGCTTCCAATCTATAAAAAAACATAACCTCTAATGGTGCCCTCTACTCTCACGAATATTCAAAATGTTTACAACCTGCTGATTTGCAAGATTCTATTCTACTGTGGCGTATAATGCTGATATGGTTTATCAGTAATGTATGAAGAGACGGTCATCGACATAAGAACATCAAATAGCAGGGAGATACATTTGCCAGAGGAAGCAAATGATTCACCATTGCGCAGATGCATGGTAGACGTGAAAGGTACACAAAAAAACACAATATGAAGGAAGACCACAAATAGCACAAATGGTGATTTAAAGATAAGGTGTACAAAATTTGGCTACAAAAAGATACCAAGTCCTTCGTCTTCTACAGTTACACTACTACACTTCAGAAAAAGCGAAATCGTGAGTGAACAAACTGTTGCTTGCCTGAGAAATATACCTAAATACCTTCCCGACCGAAAGCTGCTACCTTGACGTGGTGGTCGGGCTTGAACGCCGCAATGACCCAACAAGCTATACTGGCTGCGAGTTATGTCGCTTGAGGTCCTACCATGCCAGAAAGGTTGTTTGGATAGCGGTTAGACTAAAACCAGTCACCCAACCCAATGCTATGACTCAAATTAAATTACAAAATATGCCGGATCGGTCGGGGCCCGGATTAACAACGACCGCGCTTTCTGCTGCCGTGTCACAGGGCAGAAGTGATAAATATGCTACCGAGACACAACAAATGAAAAATGGGAAAGAACAATTACCTGCAGTTACCAATGATTCAGCTATTGTCCTATCCTTAGATCAAAAAATGTACCCCTGTACCTTTTTTTTAATTGGTTTTCAACTAAATTTTTTAGCATTTCTCAAAGGCAGAGAAGAAATATCATACACAAGAGGGTATTAGTTTTCGCTTCAAGTCAGGCGGAAAAATGTGTCACGTGATTTACTGTCACAGTTGTTATTTTACTTGAAGATCATGTATGGACAAGGATAAGCTATTACGCAATAATTTACGCTGAAAATTCTGTACAATAAATAAAACAACTGTTCGGTATAAAGCCATTATTATTGTACAAATTCATGTGTAAAACTTTGGCACTATGTTAGTATGTGATCCCGTGTTAATTTATTGTAAATACCACACACAGTGAAACGGTATTATTTACTAGATGACAAAGTTTCGAACACAATCTATTATATTGTTCATAATCATACCAATCAATTATAACCATACACACAACTTCGAAACTTTCGTTTTATGGTTTTCTTTATTCCTTCCTATTCGATGTAGAAGTAGCAGAATTTTCCAGGTGGTCAGGAGTTGAATCACACTCTCTGTTGCACGTATTCTCAATTAATTCGATAAATAAAGCTTTCGTTATCAATGTCTCCGACCAGAACAAGCTGGATTCAGGAAAGGCAAATTATGTTCTGACCAAATTGCAACTCTACGCATCATCATCACAGAACAAAGCATGGAATGGCAATCAAATATCTACCTCAACTTTATAGACTTTGAGAAGGCCTTCGACAGCGTTGACCGCGAAGTAATTTGGAAACTACTCGAGTACTACGGCGTACCCCAAATATTCATCAACCTTATT